TAAGCTAGTAATTCTACATCTTTTTATAGCAAGGCTTTCAGAGTCGTTGTGCACCATTTAGTTACTTGGATTTAAATAAGTTTCTTTTTATTATATCTTTACTCTTTGTTTTAAGCCCAAGTAGTGCTTTTTGCGCTTTAACAAACAAAATTTCCCTGCGTTGATACTAATTTCAATTTTCTCGTTTGTTTAACTTGAGTTTTTATATCAGATGATCTTGTCAGTTCTCTGTCACATTGATCTCAGGTGTTAAGGAGACGAGATTAGTATTTTTATACTTACTATCACTAGTATTTATTAAATTGGTAGTTAATTAGTGCGGATTCATGTTCAGTAATACAAGATAAAAGACAACAGGTTTTTAATTTCCACATAATATGGTCAATTTGACATGTTTTCCTGAAATATCAGTTTTCCAGAAGAAACGAAGCTTTAAACTAACAACTTTTCTTATTATACTTTGTATATCTACCTACGAGAATATTTTTTCCAAAATCCTGTAAAGCATATTAAAGAGAACTTCTTAATATATGTTTGTTTTTTGAGAATTAAATCTGTATGTTTAAGACCGTTAATTTCTAATATTTTAAATGTACAACACAAAAAATAGGTTTACTTGATCTATTAGAAATATATCATCTTAAAATATACATATTTAATTCTCAATTAACAGGGGATATACAAAATATTTGCACTCAGAAATGGTTAGTTTCTTTTAGTGTCTAGAAATTACGTTTCTTCTGAAGAAGCTCATATTTCAGTTTTTTTTTTATATTCCACTATTGACTTATTGAGTCAAATTTCTAATACTGTAAGTTGTTATGGTTTTTTGGAGTTCTTTAAAATATTTTTTTACATCTGTAAAATGTTCTGTTGGGGTCGTTGTTAGTAATTATGATGGTTTCGTCGTCAAATGTTCCATATTTTCTAGTCTCTGTATTTCTAATGTGAAAAATTCTTAGTGTTAAAATTTGTTAAAAATTTTCTTGCTACATCGTTTATTATGAGATACATATATGTTTTGTACTTTCAAGACACCATCTTGTTTTTGTACTTGTGTTCATTGCCTGCACTATTTTCGCACTTAATAGTTTTTCCTTACATCGTTAGCGATTGCTAGCAATATTTTCTGCGTCTCCTCAACCTTAAGAAACAATTATTTTTTCCTATAAACGTAGCTGATGCCTCTTCTTTGTAAGACTCAAGTTTCTCTCTCATACAGTCTTAGTCTTACTCTTATAGAAACTAAAAGCGTTATTTATTTTCTTCATCATAGTAAACTACTACAAAGTATTTTATCAACTTACCTGATATTCATTGAATAAAAATATCTGCACTTTCGATAGTGAGTGCTTTTGTGTACTTACAGCCCCATGTGAAGGCGTATCATTATTTTGAGTAGCTTTTCTTTATATTTGTGAAACTGTGAATGAATTTGTAGCTTTATAAATGGAATTTTAAAACAAGATTTTTACATCTATTCTATTACTATCATAAATCTAATTTGAATTACGATTACCTATACTATAAATACATAAAGTATCCTTAAAATGGAACAGATTACTTTCTGAGGGTGTTCAGAATGTCGACAAATCGGAATGTGTAAAATTTCACAGAAAACCGAATTTTTGTCATGCATTAAACAACATAATGACAAATTCGTGAGCATTGTGAAATTAAAAATGTTCCAATACTTAATCAAAATAGGACATTTATGATACTCTCTCTATTTTACTTTTATTTTACTGATAACCATTGGGGGCATTTCAGTGACTGAGTTTTTTTCTTATTGTAAATGTTTGTTAAGAAAACGTTTATATCTAAATTAATAACTATACCAAATGTTAACAATAATGACAGAATTGTTTATATTAATATACAAATATGATACATAATTTGTAAATAAAAAAATATTAAGATATATTTAATTTTTTAATGAGTTGTCCTGTTTTACCTTGAAGAAAAAATACGCTTTATTAGAATTTTAAGCAATTATCAGGGTTGGCTAGGTGTTTTTAATAATCTTAAGAAAATATCTAATTCTAAGAAATGACAGCATTCCATTGGAGTTTTTGTTATGCCGAACTTCGGCCAGAAATATATGGAACAAACCGACGAATAATAAGGAAGATAAGAACAAATATAAAATAACAAAGACTTCTACCAAAACCTTGTACAGCTCGCAAAGCCAGCCTAATGAATCAACAAAGGAGAATATTAGAAGAAAAATAAAAAACTTATGATCAGAGGTACTACCAAATATAAAGGGATTTTAAATAGAAAGAGCTAAAAAATAATAAAGTTTCAGCAAACGATGGTATATTTGCGAACATCTGACGCTCCATAACCCTCTGAGTCACTTGAATCTTGTTCACTACCTTTGTTTATTGGGGTTCATGTTTCCGCTCCATAAGTGAGTACAGGTAACACATGTTCTTTAAGATTTTCTTTTTTAAGCATGGGTAGGTCAATTTAAATACATAGTGTATATGACAAAACATTAGTAGTACAGAGGAAATAAGTTTATGAAAATTTGTAAAAACAACTATAATACTAACGAAATCTTGATAGTAGAGGGCCAGCAGATCGAAAGAGTAAAAAAGTACACTTACCTAGGAACACTTATAACAGAAAATAATGACTACACGGCAGAAATCAAAGTCAGAATCGAAAAAAGCACGTTCTTATTTTATAAAAATGAAAAAGGTCCTATGTGGCAAAGATCTAACATTAGCTCTTAAAGTACGCCTAACAAAATGTTACGTATACAGTGTACTATATTATGGAGTGGAATCATGGACGTTAAATCTAGATACCATGAGACGACTTAACGCCTTTGAAATGTGGACCTATAGAAGAATTATGAGGGTTTCCTGGGTAGATAGAGTTACAAACAATGAAATACTGTGAAGAATAGGCAAAGAGAAGGAAATTGAACTTACAATTAAAGAAAGAAAGCTACAGTATCTCGGACATGTGATGCGGGGCGATAAGTATGGCATCCTGCGACTCATAATGCAAGGAAAAATAGATGGCAGAAGAAGCATCGGAAGAAGACGAATTTCATGGCTGAAGAACCTGAGAGAATGGTTTGGATGCAGCTCAAAACAACTATTTGAGCTACTGCCTCAAAAATTAAGATAGCTATGATGATTGCCAACCTCCGTAGCGGAGATGGCACCTGAAGAAAAAGAAGAAGGAAATAAGTAGTCAGACAACAAATAGATAAAATAATATAGAAATAAGTGTGTTTTACATTAGACCAGCTACATTGTGATGTTGACTGCATAAGTCATTTTTAGTCGAAACTTTCAAATGCAGTTAAAAAAACAAATATAACGTTTACAGCACACAGCAATTCTATAAATAGAGAATGATGTGTACTAACGAGATCGTATGTTAAAATTTCAGATTAGACTAACTAATGAAAAAAATAAGTATTTTCCAAAGTTTTCTGTTTTTTAAGTTCTGTAGTAGGTACTCTCCATAAAATTTTACTTTCATTTTATTAGAGAATTATAAGATACCTGTTAAAAGACACATAATACTATCATCTATCTATCTAATTATAATATTAATTACTTCTATTTAAATAAAACTAATTAAAAATTTTTTTGGTACGCCTCTCCAAAATTGATAAGTGGAATATAATTTCTTTTAAAACTTATCGTTAAGTACGATGTTGCCAAGTAATCACCTTCAATTAAAAATTGTTTTAGTACAGCGGATATATTTGACAATTATCGAACCACCAGTTGCCAGATTGCAACAGATGTTAGGAATTAATTTCGAAAGAGACAAATATTTACTCGTTATTGTTTTATATAAATTAAGAATTGCAGAATGCTAACTTAATATAATTAAAATGTACTTTTTAAAAGTTTTATCTCTTTATATTTGAAGGCATAATAAAAACTATCAGGTGTGCATAATAGGTGTGAGACTATCGACGGTGGTAATGTAATTTAATATAAATTATAGGTTTCTATCGATCATTTCCCACCTCTACGAGTTTCATCTCTTTTTATTTCACAAGGTAACTGTGTTTTCTATCTTTTAGGTTAAAAAGCCGGGTGGTAAAGCACTCATCACTGTATATCCAATATTCTCAATCTACTGAAGAAATAAAACATGACCTGAAAACCTTTCTGGTGCCGGTTTGGCTTCAGTCAATTCCATACGATTACGTATCACCTCTCTTTCCTTGTCAAATTATAAATGTCACGTCTTTTGACACGGTGACTACGCTACCAACAAGCCGTGTAAATAAAGGAAAATGGTTTGATGTTCCATGTATATCTATCTCCAAAACATTAATATAATGTTTTCAGTTCTCGTTTATATCATTTGCAGATCATTTCTTTCTCTCTGGTTACTCATAGTGGGTTTTGTACATGAAGGATTAAAAGGAAATGGATGTTGAGAGGTTTAAAATAAAATAAGGCTTTCTGTTGTAATTATATAATTTTATTTAATTACGAAAAATATGCTACGTAATCTTCTGTTTCGTAATAACATCGAGAAACCAATGAAATGTTCTAAATTGTTAAGTATTTGAATTTGAATCACTGGTGCCATGTTTTTTTGTTTAATTCATTGACATCTAATTCACACACACGTTTTAACAATATGTCAGATTTTTGTAAAACAAATAACAAATATACAGATTGTTCCAAAATTTCGTATCTGCCAAGAGATTTCCTAGTTTTGGTACACACTGTATTTATCGCATTGAGGCTTGCCCTAGATAAGAAAACATAAATTAAAAATGTCCCTCTTTGCTCAGCTATCTAGAAAAATGTACAGGGTGTCAAAGTACAGGAAAGTACTCGATAAATAGTGAAATTTTGACAGAAGCTGAAAACGATAAACAGTTACGCCCTCTGTAGTAAACATCTACAATCTTTTATGTACAATAGAATGCAAAAATTAATATAGTCAAAGACGTTTAAGTCACATGGTAAAAGTTTTTGTGTATATTTTTACAAACGCGCGCACTTTTAGTATATCACTTCGTACACTGTTGCCTTTTTGTCTCCAGATCCTGTTACTATGTATTTGTCGTCAGTGGAGATATCGCAACTCAGAACACTTGAGGATTCTTTGGACTGAAAATAAAAAATAGCAATTAGAATAATATTTAATAAAGAATATAATTAGTACATACAACATGTGGGGTTTGTTCTATGAATTGTCATTTGGAGTGCAACTTTAAAACTATTCAACTGAGTAAACTTGGCCAGAAGCTCTTAGGGATGACCTGACTTACTGGTGATACTTGATATCAATTAAAACTAAAGGCTAAGAGGAGATGTTGGTGAAACTGAAAACAACTTTCGAGCCATTTCCAACTTTTTGAGATATAAGTAGTAACTCCAACATAGAACCACAAAATTTAAATTAATATTTTTTTTTGTGAACTAAACTAAGATACCCTTTCATAGATTTTGATGGGATTCAGTGATGTAATCCATTTTTTATAAAATAATTTTATATGGGGCCATATGATAAGTAATACTTCATGTGACAGCTCGTTTCACGTCTTTTCAATGACACCTAAACAATTAAAAATTTCTGCGTGGTCGCATGTAATCCTCTTTGAAATTCTTTCAAAATGGCGCCAACAACGCGGCGATTGTTGTCCTATCGTTTCTGGTGTATCGGTTTAGGCTAGCGACTTAACATGTCCCTACAGAAAATAGTCTAGCTGTGTTAAATCGCACCATCTTGGAGGCCAATTCATAGGTTCAAAACATTCATATGCCATGTTACTCCGTCTTGTTAAAACCAGATTTCCCACATCAAGTTCGTTCAATTCAGAAACAGAAAAGTCAGTGATCATGGATCTATAGCGGTCAACATTGAAACGTTCTCGTCAGCATTATGAAGAAGTACAAACCAATGATTACATCTGCCCATAAAGCACACCAACCATTCAGTTTTTCTGGCTGTAACGGTGTCTGAACATACACGACGATCAACTTGACTAAAAATATGGTAGTTTTGCTTATAGACGTAGCCATTCAATCAAAAATAAGCTTTATCACTAAACAAGATTCGCTTATGAAAATCGGGATCAACAGCAATCTCGTTTTGAACCCATTAACCGAATATATGTCTTGCCCAGTGATAGTGTGGCTTCAGTTCGTGCAAGTATTGATTTTTTAAGCACGTAAACAAAAATATTTTGCAAAATCTCCCAGAAAATTAAGTGGATGGACACAGCTCCAATTGTTATGGACGATAGCGAATGGACTCATTCGCATGAGAACCAGAATGGTTCGCAACAGAACCATGATTTTCAAAATAAATTTACACAATTTGGAAGCGACTTCGGAGGCTCTAAAAGACAATGCTAAAACAGTGAGGACACGCTACCCAGTTTTAGATGCAAGCTTTCTACAGCTATGACCAGATTATATCACACCATCGCAGTGGAGGGCAGGACACAAGGAAAAAAGAAGTATTTTCAGCTCGAATTACCCAATTTATTCGCCCAGCGTATCCAACGAAAAGTTTAAAAAATGAAACTATTTGTCATGACGTAATACTTGCAAAAATAAATATGATGTCAGGTTGTCGATTATTAGTAAAATCATAGTATATGGTAAATGGGATATAATAAAATTCTTACTTGGAATATACTGGCTCCATATGGCGTCCTCCAAGCATTCAGCAAGTTATCTTTACCGGTAGAAACGAACCATTTGCCACACGTTGCAAATCTCAAACTAAGTACACAGCTCTCGTGTAAATGCAACTGATATTTGTCTGCTTTCGTGGCGTGCAACACTTCAACGTGAGAATTCTCCATTCCAACTGCCAGCCATTCTCCCGTGGGGCAATAACCCAAAGAGAAGATCTGGGAACTGAAGTCGTGTTGTTGTAATTGCTTGCCTTCTCGAAGATCCCAACTGCGAACCTAAAAACAAAAAATATACGATATATTACTGGGTAGATCTATAAAAAGTCAGTAATTCTATAATTTTTAACAGTCTGAATCGTTCAATCACTAAAATTACTGGACAGTAAAGTAAAGTGAGTGGAAATTATCAAAATAATATGGAAAATATATTTTTACAAATTTATAGGTATCGGGGATTTTGTATGTATTTTAAGAAATAGCGAAATTAGAAAGTTTATTGTTTAATAAAATTATTCTATAGCCACGTGTCCTAAGCCATGGTTAAACATTACTAATGGTCGACACCTAGTTGAATGGTAGCAAAGTTGGTCAGCTGTTTAAAAATTTTTAATCACGTTATAAACATTTAAAAAGTTTTTTAACCTTCAGCATTTCCAAAATTTACAACTAAGTTACCATTTGAAGTAAAGTACTCTATCACAATATTTATGTTGTGGCACTTAATTAACGGCGTATTTTAATTTTTTTTTTTTCAACAACCAAAACCTGTGTTTTTAATCAACCTAAGAACGAAGACTAACATTTCTTGTTGTAGCTTGTGTACATTGGTCCTTTGAGCCGCAAATATTAATGTATAGGGTCTTTAATTAAGCGCTTCCTATATTTAAATTTAAATAAAGCAAAGTGTGGGAAGAGATATCTTCGAATGTTTGTATTCTTTTGCCATGCTCCTCGATACAATTATGTATAGAATATAACATTCAAATGTCTACCACAGTTTCACTGCATAAATCACGCTGAATTTGATAAATGGCTTTGGGGCGACTGTGGTTTGTGGCTTATTCACATAGATCTGCGACTAAAAAACCAAGAAAGAGTTTAACGGGTCAAATCGCACGACCTCGGTGGCCAGTTTATGTCACTTCCACGTGAGAGTAACATGCCCTTAAATCTCTTGTGTAGAATGCCAATATGACATGAGCTGTGTGACTCAAACGCCGTCTGGTTGAAGCCACATGTCTTTGGAGTCCATACGATCAAATTCAGACAAAAAAAGTTGGTAATCATCGATTTATAGCTCTCGTCGTTGGCGGTGATGGCATAGTCAACGTCGTTCTCAGAGAAATAAGGACCGATGATGCCGCCAGCCCAAAATCCACACCAAAGACGTACTTTTTCGGGGTCATTGGACGCTCTTGTCTCTCATCTGAATTGGTACCGTCCCAAATTCGATAGTTTTGTTTGCTGACGAATATAATTTTTCAATGAAAATTTAGGTTTGTTTTTAACTGCTCCAGAGCCCATTCAGCGAACTCACGTGGATCAGTTGAATTTAATACAGGTGTAGGCCCAAGTAACGACACAACATTCGCCAGGTTGTGGTCTTTGAAGTGCCGAGTTTCTGTTAGCGACGTGAGATCGACTGCCTCGGATTCCCCTGCACACCCTCACGGACAGCAGCGATATTCTTGGCAGATCTTGCATTTCGTAGATGCACAAGTGTTGGTTGATTGTTTACTGGAGGTATCCACAGTGCGAATAGCCCTCTTGGTAGGACGATTATGGCTACAGTAAAATGGTAAACCAATTTTATTTTTTTGCACGTGTTCTACGCTTTATCCATCCATGGTGATTTGGCAAAACATTTGGTGATTTATTCTAGTACCTATTTGAAGACCCATTTTATAATATCAAACTATATTCATTCGATGAAAATGTATCGTGAGATGTGAGGAATTATTCTATTCTGCTAAAATTAAGACCACTTCAAATGTATATATCAATCCAAATTAAAGAAACGTGGGAATATTTGATAATTTTGGACAGAGAAATAAATAATTTTCTAAATTATAAAAATTAGTAATGTAAAGATAATTTAAAACGAAGTTACTTACCGTATTATCGAGTCCTCCTGTCCATAACTTGGTACCATCCGAAGAAATATCTATACAAGAAGCGCCGTCTGTGTGTCCTTGGAACTGTCGCACCAACGTCTGATTATGTAAGTCCCATACTGCTATATGACCATCCGAACAACAACTGAAACACACTTTGGAGTCGGGACTAATAGCCAGGGCATAACATGCTGGTGCGCTAGATGTCAATTCGGCTTTTATTCTAGGTGTAGGACTAGCCAAGTCCCATATTGATAAATTAGAAGCTTCTCCTCCTACAATTAATGTCCTGCCGTCGGGCAGTAGTTTGACTGACCTAATATAATTGTCTCGTTGCTAAAAAAAATGAAGTATATTAATTAAGTTATGTTAATGAGCATAATAATCGAAAATGTATAAGTGATAAGACAGAAACACAACATGGTATAAAACAAAAAATCACGAGGAAATTTGAACTAATGATAATCAATAAACAGTTCCCTTCCAAGGCAGGAAGAAGCTATTCGTGATCGGCTGTGGTCGCTAATTCAGTGAGATGAGCGTTAGTGGATTATAAGGCGCTGGTTTCTCTGAACACACGTCAGCGGCGAAGGACAACGGCTGCCGTCAACGTTTGAATGCTATGCCTAAAAGTGTATGGCACTTGGTTTCTCAGCCACGCCAGCGGTCACGGCTAGCGTCGACGGTTAGCGTTTACCCGCTGCGTGTTTCCGTGCATATGGTTTCAAAACATTGCAGCGGGTGGACGCTATGACGGACGAAAGCAAAATGAAAAAAGAACAAGATGAAATACATACAAATAATGTAATAATTAATTTAAACATAATTTTTAGTTATTACACAATAACAATTATACATTGTGAGACTGCCAAGTGACCCTTCCAGATGGCGAACACAAGTAATCTTTTATTTTGATCAGTATTTTGGAAAAGACGCAGCAAGTGAATGATCAGTTATTTGAAAAATTTTTAACGCAGACAGAAACTGTACCAGAAAAATCTGCTATTCATAATTTTTTCGAGTCTATGACTGATACTGTTTCAAACTTTACACCACATATTATTGCTGAAACTAGGTTACAAGTTTGTAAAATAGTAACAGGGATGGAACTGAAAATTCATAACGAACAGTAGCTGTCTTTGTGATATTCGAAAATAATGTATGAATTTTTTATTATCACATTTAAGATGCGTATGAATTAAGTTACTAAATGTCCTTTCATTCTCTCTATTTTTAAATATATTGTGAGTCTGTCTTCTTTTCTTTAAATTTCTAATTAATAGTTCAATATCTTCCTCTTCTTCAAGTAACAGTTTCATCAACATTTTTTTCATTATCATTTTCATTATTTATAAAGTCCTTTGAATTTTTAATCTAACCTAATAATCGACGTCTATACCTATTGATATCTACCAGCAAACTGACTAATTCTAGAGAAACCACTCAACCGTTACAGACGACGTGTGGACGTTAGCCGCAACGTCTAAACGTCGACGGCCCCGGCTTACGTTTGTTCAGAGAAACCAGCGCCTAAGGTCGACTGGAATGTAGACTTATATCGTCCTTGCGAGGCTCTGTTAGGGAGTTCTTATCCATTCCCTAACTTATCGTATGATAAGGATGGACCAGCCATAAATACTAGCAGCCTCAGTCAGAAACTATGACATTGGTACCAGTAACAGACCATAGTTCTGAATGTGAAGAGAAATTACTGAAACATAGTCACTAAAACCGAGATGAAGCTCGACAAGGATCGCAAAACAACCAACGAGCGAGCATGAAGAGCTCACATAATAGAAAATGTATAAGTACCCGTTGAAAGAAAGCCTCAACCAAAAAGAAGTTCATCAGCAGGCGTAATAGTCTATATAAAAGCTACAGACATACATAGAAGTGATACACAAAAGACCGAGTTCATCAGCAGGCGTTATAGTCGATATAAAAGCTACAGACATACATAGAAGTGATACACAAAAGATCGTTTAGGTCGTATTGTATGTTAGGAAAGGTATATAAGTTCAAGCAACCTACCAATCTCTACAATCTACCATCTGCAATGATGCAGGGATGATCCAGAAGCCAAAGGTACAAAGATTAGAGGGATAGATATTTGTGAGCTCATTCAAATTGAAATATACGTAAATTGTTCTTGGTAACTTTATAAAATGTATGATACTTACTAAACAGTCCAATTGAGAAACAGGGCTCTTTGATCCAGGTTGGCTGATATCCCAAACTTTGACACATCCTTTTCCGCCAGTATATACATATTTGGTTGGGTTGGAAATAGTCACTGCACAAACAACTTCGCCATGACTAAGGGTATTGATTTGACGTGCGTGTCTCGGTATTCCCGGTCCTATTAGAGCATCCGTCGGAAATGGTACTGGTTGAAGTTGGCCTTCGCCATTCATGTGAAAAGAATAGGCCCTACAAGGATATATATCGCAGATTAATATAAATTATAAAAAAGATTAATATAAAAAAAGTTATCAGTTCGGGATACTTAGGTGAAACCGGATTTAGTAAAGGTTAAATTCCGAAAGTGGCTGCAGACTGCACACCGCAGACTGCAGCGACAGGGTCGTCTGCGGTCAGACCTATTCCGAGCAGAACTGCACTGCCTCTACAAAACAGCGACAACAGCTTTGCACAATGGGAATTTATAATAGTATAATATTAAAAGTCGTATAAGTAGGGTGTCAGACGCAATGAACAACGATGAATTAATGTTATATCTTTTGATGGAAGAAGAAGATGACGACGATCTTTTACTTTTACACAATAAAAGAAAAAGGAAGCCAACTAGGTCTCTATTTAAAAATATACAACTTGAAGGAAGTTATTCAATACTCATCAAAAATCTCTTCTTCTTCATTTAAAAAACTCATTTTCAAAAGATATTCAATTCTTTTCACTTTTCAGTCAATTTGGAAACAGCAAAAATACGTTTTGTCACTCTGCGGTCGGCGACACTACTGGTTCTGGTGCAGTCCTGCGGTCTGCGGTGGCGACGTTCTACTTGCGGTGGCAACAGTGCCGCTCTACTCGACATACAGCTCATAAGAAATCATATGAACCAGTAGGTCTGTCGCTGAGGTCTGCAGTTTGCGATCGTGTTGGGAATCGTACCTTAAGAGTTTTGGATTAACAAATCAGCAATCAAATTATGAAATGTATAAAATATTGTTTCCTGCTGCTATATATTATGTTTTAACTTATCAAAAAGCTTTCATATAACAATTTATGGATTTCATTTTTATTTTACTAATTTTGTGAAACATTCCGTGTAGTCACTTAAACTTCATCTAATTTATATAACGATGCACGTCATCGGCGTCATAGCCTGTGACGTCACATGATACCAACAAAATCTTTAGGGTGTAGGTGTGTTCTTTTTTAGAATCACTTTACCGAGTACACTGACATTACAGCTACTAGATATATTTTATTATATACGCGTAGAAATCATATTTTAAAATTTCTATTAGGTAATGTTAACTTGAAGAAATACACAATAATATGTTTCATTTAATTTGTATAAATGCATTATAAAGCGTTTTTATCAAGAACATTTGTTCGGAACACACTGTAACTGTAATCGAACGAAGGTAAAATTTTGGCATAAATTGGTAACACTTATTTGACATTTGCTGTGTTGACACTTTTTGTACTTCATTATTTTGAATTTTAAAGTAAATATCTCTTGTTTTATATTTTTAACTATCTAATAAAATCTGTTCTTTTTAGAACAAAATTAGTGTGTTTTATTTCAAAAATGTCACGTAAGAATTTTAATAGTCGTTGTAAAGAGATGGTAATGCTTTTGCAATAATTATGTAATCTATTTGATTTAACATGGAGTCAGGATTTTTTATACTGTGGCAACTATGTCAACTTCGATCTCTGACGTAAATAATGACGTAAGTCGTTATCTAAATTAGATGAAGTATATATCCCTTTGAAATAATTTTCATATTATTTTTTTAACCTCTTTGCAAAATTTCTGGAATAACAAAAAAATGATTTATTTTGGATTATTCTTAATAAATTATTTTAAAGAAACTGACTGTCGTAAAGATCACCATTACCGTTAAGCCCATCCAGTATAAAACAGCACTTTTATTTTTTCAATATAAAAATACCTAAATTTTCAAATGTTGCCATTTTCCGTCTGCAGCAAGATCTAACACCACTCTGTTCGTCGAGATACCCCATTCCATTAGGGATCGAAACAGTAGAAAGTCTAAACTTCCAGATATTAAACAGATAGGCATGGTCATTACTAAGAAAATTAGGGAGTGGTGTCCGTACGAAATGCCGAGAAGCAGCCTTAAAGCAAGATGCCGCAGCATCACATATAGTAAAAATATCCAGGGCACCAAAGGGTAAAGCACACAGCATCTACGTAAAGAGAGAACTTAAAACATGTAGCCACAGAAGCGGAGCATTCCCTCCCCTTCACCAGCGAAGATATATCAGAGGCTCTTAAAGACGTTAAACCAGCAAAAGCATCAGGATTTGATAATATTCACCCTGAATTCCTAATAAATTGTGGCAAGTATACAAAAGTTTGGCTGGCTAGATTTTTCACAGACGTAATGGAAACTGGACATATTCCACAAGAACTAAAGCGCTCTAAGACAATAGCTATACTAAAGCCAGGCAAACCCGCCGACAACCTAAAAAACTAGACCAATCGCGCTTCTCTCTGCCATCTACAAACTATTAGAGAGGCTTATATAATAGAATCAGTACAGAACTGTTCCAGCGGACCAGGTAATGTCACTCACCATCTATATCGAAGCGGGTTTCCAAAGAAGACTTAAAATTGTATTTATTGATGTCTCGGCAGCTTATGATAGAGTATGGAGAGAGGGCCTTACATACAAATTTCTCTGTCCAATCCCCTGTAAACCAATAGCACGCTTAATACCAACAGATGCAAGAATAAGTACAGCCCTATGTAACGATAAGAGTTCTTTATCGTTACTGAAACTTTAAAATAACTTAATTCTGCCTGTAAGGTATGCAACCAACTATACAGGTAATGGGGTTATCAATTGTTTATCACTTGGTCAAACTTCCTACCTGCCATTTCCGTTTACCTTGAAGCTGACGGAAGCCAACGATTTTAAAAGTGTAAGAAGGCACTTTATATCCAGCCTTTGAACGGGACAGAGGACTGATTAAATCCAGCGGCCAACGCACGTGGTTTTCAAGTTAGCCGACAAACCCATTAAGTTATTCAATTTTTAAGTTACAGAAGGCGTTTTGTTTTGAATTTAGAAGTTTTGGGATAAGAAGATTTTGTTTTAATTAGTGAAATAGTGTTGCGTTGGTCGCTGGAAGAAAGAAGGATTATAAAGTCAAATCAGGATTATTTTGAATTTGGGGTACTGGAGTCCATGTAGTTTGGTTGGAGTTTTTTTTTTGGTTTTTTCCGGAAGGAAAGCATCCGGAAGAAGAACTTTCTCAGTTTGAGATTAGTCAGGTTCCTTTATAATAATTGTTCCTACTATTTTAAAATAATTTCTTTAAACTTTGTTTAAACTTTAACGAACAAAACCTTAATAATAATCTTAGTCAATTTTCTTAACTCATATTTTCGTATCATTAGTTATATAACGTTCAATTTTGTTTCTCAATATCATTTGTTTATTTTATCATTAAATCTTTTAAATATATTATATATGTATCAGTTATAACAGGGTAGGGGTGGATCATAATACAATTTTTTTTGTAAGATCATTTGTGCACAAAGGTCCATTTTGTATTTCTACAGCCCTACTTGTAACATCACCAATTCATCTTGTATCTGTTCCTTTCTGGACAGACCAGTTTAAATATATCTACAGGTTATCTGATTGGAATCAATTTGGAAACTGTCAAACTGATATATTGTGTTATAGGGAGGGGTTATAGCTGTTTAAACTGTCAAATGTTGGTTGTCATTACTTTTTGCTTTAATTCATAAATAAAACTTCATAAAATAAGTTGATACTTTTCTAGTAGATTATTAAATGTAAATATATTGTATATATAAAAGGGGTCAATAATAGTGTATATTATAAGGGTATTTAAGTTAAATTGTATATTACGAGGTTTACAGGTTTCTATTTTATTGTTATTAAATTGGGTTTTAAGTAAGACTCTGTTTTATTAAACCTTCTTTTTATTTAATAAGGTTATATCTAATTATAGAAACATAGTCAGCAGCAGCAATAAAGTTACACGGTGAAGTGTTTGTTAGACTAAGAGTCCAGTAAACATCTTCCCTGGCGCCCAAATCATTCTTCTTTCCTTTATTCCGGTTTTCAGTACTTACTCTTAGTTCGTTTTGGTTATTCTTATATTTTCTTAGTTAATTTATATCTTTTCTATTCTTTACTGTTTTCGCAGGGCATGCAAATAGGCCTAACCCTAGCTTGAGTATCAACTGGCCAGTCTCAAGCATACCCAGCTAGCCGAACTGCATTCAGTTTCAACTTCTATTTTAATTTAGTTTCGAACTTATCTCCACACTACTCTACAGATCTTATAACAACAGGGACCTGGTCCCAAGTGATCTAGCTACTATTTGTTACAGGAGCGCCCAAAGTAGAGCAATATAAAAACTTTGTTACAAATTTTGTTACACCTAGACGTGAACGATACGGCAGCAGATCTACACAGCAGGAAAAAATGATATAAGAATTGTCAAGATTCTAGAAAATCACTTTGGAAGAATTTAAGAATTCACGGAAAAATGGAAAATCAAAATCAATGCAGAGAAGACACTGATCATCTTTACGCAGTAACAAAATCCACCAGTAGCCGAGCTCACATGGGTAGAAATGTTATACAATTAGAAGCATCTGTCAAGTACTTAAAAGTCCACCTCGACAGAAGACTAAATCTCACGAAGCGTACACAAGAACTCGAAGGTAAAATCGAATTTTGCAAAAAGACTAATTCAACCTTAAATTTTCAGTACAAGTCCCCTAAAGAAGATCTAATTGTACCATGCCTACGTTAGGTCGAGACTAGTTGGAGATACTAGTCTCCGACCTAAAGTAGGCATGGTACAGCATGTGGTCCCAGTATGGAGTTCAACAGCAGAGACAGAGTGGAAGAAATTAAAGAGAACAGAGTCGTCATGTTACAGGTCAATCGACGGGTCCACATGGGAAGAAATGTTACAAATGCAACCAACATAGAAAGGCCTAGTGCACACCAGAGGGAGCTGACTGAGAACAGGATAAGATACTTCTTCCACCACGTCTCAAAAAGACTAGAAAACCCCGAGACATCGTTGCTAGAAATCGAGGTCAAAGGATGTATACAGAAAAACAGACTGATCGACCATATGATCAGGGTCTAGTCAGATGGTTGCTGAAGACGACTAAAGAAGAAAGTAGGTACAATGCCAGAAGTAAGTATCCACAGGAAAATATGCCAAGAGGTCAACGACAAAAACAATCAAGTACCTAAAGAAGATGCGGTTCAAACAGTAGATGGTGCCGATTCGGAACATCAGAAGAAAAAAGACTAAGATATCTTAAGTGTCAAATGTAAATATTATTGGGCGATAAACATTTTTATTTTATTAAATGTGGTCTTGAGAACACATGATCTACAAATCTCCAATTAATAGTAGCTTTTGTATATATTGTAACATTTTTTTATTATTAATATATCAAATTATTTTTAATTCCTCCTAATTTTACCCCCGTGCGATACGCCGATGATTAGGAATCCCCGTGTTTACGATAGGAAAATATTGTTGTAGACACCAAGCTGAAATGGAATTCCCTAATTAAGAAAGGTTTTTAATCCTTCCGTCTTAATACTCTGTATGAAAAGAACAAATGCTTTCCGGTATGCAGTTTCTTTTTCATAAATTGGTAATTTTCGCCGAAGGCCGTATCTTTTGACAATAATATAATCCTAAGGATTTTAATACTCTCAGGTCCAATTGTTAATACCGATTATTTTACCTCAAACTTTCCAATAGTCGATAAGGCCTTACCTTCTGAGAAATACATACGACTGTCCGATGATTTTAAGTGGGGGATATACCTTCTTCTTCTTTTTGCTTGGATAGTTGGTGAAATTTTTAGGGAACCAACTTACTTCTCGGTGGGCTCTTGTTGAGTGAAGTGATATCTCGTGATGCGCTTTGCTCACGATATTTCTTATCTTATCGTCGCTGTGAATTATTTTCTAAGTGTGTGTACACTTCATATTTGAGTTTTCTTTCCTTAGACTATATTAAATTATATATTCTACACTACCTTTAATGGTTATTAAATTCAGTGTTTAGTACCAGAAAAGTATTAAATTCAGTGAATTAAGCTGCCTTCGTCAAGATCTACTGTAATCTTTATCTACAATTATCTGGGCGAGTAATATGGTATGGTATCATATCACCTGCCATTATCTGGACGTATCATCTATATCTTCACCTGTAGATTGCCGATTTTTGAATGTAATTGAACCATTCAAGAAATTTCTATAAATATTACCTATGAACATACAAGTCTCAGTTTTTTATTAAATAATAGTGCGAGATAGTTAATTGACTTAACCAAGTGCGGTTTGGTTTATGTTTTCATTCCTGTAACCTTTTTGTTTTTTTTTTGTAAATTTAGAGTTAAGTAATTTTTGCTATCTTTTGTATTGCCTATAATTTTTGTTCATTATCTTTCCTATGATATCTCGAGATACGCCAAACTATATTTGTATATGATTGCCTTATATATCTTGGTAAAGGTATTTTTTTATTACATTATTGCTTAATTTTATACATATATAACACCATTTCATAGTTGTGTATTTTTATTACCTGTGTTGCATTTAGCAGCATCATAATTTTGTGTTTAATATATTGTTATTGTTTTATGCATGTATTTTATTTGTCGGCTCCTAACAAGTTCCCTGATAAAATAATAGCTCTGAACAATTACTATCTTTAAATATTACTATGCTTTTGAACTGTAGAAAGATCAGGCTGATTAAGTTTCGTAGGTAAGTAAGTGTAATACTTAATATATTTATTATTTGTTTATATATTGCGTTGACCAGATTTATTTGATAATTTACTGTTGGTATCTTTCCTTGGGTTTGATCTCTGAACCTAAGTATCTTTTCTTATCTCTTTTCTTTTCTAAGGTTTTCTTAATTTTCTCCTTAAGCCCAAAAAATTGAGTGGCGCCCTGTTTCTATCTTCTCTTATCTTTGGAAATTCTATCCATCTATCTTTTTGTTTATTTTTGTATCATTTCTAATATCTCTTATCCTATCTTTACCTATTTCTTCCGTTGGATCCATTCCCGGTTCCAAAAGCTAGTTTCGAACCCACGACTCGCTCTCCTCCAACCATCTGGCTGCCGTCCGCAGTGTCTCCATTGGTTATCTTTTTAGCACCACCCAAAAAAGATTTCCGAGGTTACAATATTCAGATAATAATTTGAATTCCGGAACGTCAAATGTTTCATGTATCTTGTTTAGTTGGACTATCAAGAACTTTATGCATTCAATTATGTGTAAATGTTATTCATTTACAAAATTTTCACAATTGAAAGTAATTATTTCAAATAAACTTACGGTTTTCCTCCAGGTATGGCGCCCATACCATTCGTTGCTATTCCAGGCGCTCTTGTATGGGGATGTCCGTCGTATCCTAATATTGCGGGTCGACTGTAGGGCGAAGGGGCGACGTTATTGTAGGGACTTAAATGCTCTGGTCCTCTAGCAGCACCAAGAGGATAGGGTGGGTACTGACCTGCATGGCCCACTTTGGCAGTTGGAGCTGGTCCTGCTCCGAGATTAGGTGTCGTAGAGCGTTGTTTCGATCCGGGGGTGAGGGGTTTTTCCTAAAAAAAAAATAGCATTTATAAAAATTGTTGTACACTGTTGTATAAAAAAAAACAGAAACGCTGGACCAAATGGGAAAATTATATAAAAGTATTATTTAAAGTGTGTGAAGAGAGTATTAGTCAATACTGAGACATGTAACAAATCAAAAAGTATATTTTAAGATTTGTTACATGGTTACTAACCTAAGAATAACGTAAATGGTAACGAAATGGAACTATTTTTTAAGTGTCTTTCTTATAAGATTCTAACTTTTAGGAATGATAAATGTTATGCTGGGAAGTACAGCAAGAAACGTTTGACGATTCTGTTAGCAGCAAACATGTTAGGCACAGAAAACTATCACCATTAAAAATCGGTAAATATAGAAATCCTCGTTTAAATAGAAAAGGACGCATGACTTCTACAATTTTCAAATCTAGCTCATAAATGTTAATAAGAAAATGGCCAAAGAAAAAGGAAAAAAAAAAAAATAACTGTACCGATAGTGATATTCTACAAATAAAACGGAAGATATTTCTATTTCATCTCATGCAGTTTAAATCACGAATATCCTTTGAGAACTTTTTACGTGCGATGATGAAGCTGTAACTGCTAGAACATTATCTGATAACGAAATTATCAATCCAGTAGCTAAAGAATCAATACTAATAATTTAGTTAAAATAGAAGACTTGAATAATACTAAATGTGCTTCATGGGTTTCCATCAAAGATACAAGAATATCATTGAATAGTTTACGGAATTTTATAGAGCAAACCAGCAACTCTGAAGAACTGCTGAAGAATAATTAGATCTGCTGAAGAACCGAATTATCTAAAGCAAAAAAATACTGACATCTTTAATGCCATATTTCTTTTAAGGATATTTTGAAATAATGTTGATTTATAATAAAAAATTGGTTTTTACCTCTGCAACAATCTTTAATTTTTACTTATTTCACCTCTAACTCAAAATTAGTAAAAACGAATATCAATCTCTTTATGTTAAATCAAAGTCTATCTAAATCATCTATTAGTCGAAAACTCTAACTTGAATTTGTTAGCGTCATCCTTGATGTTCGACTTATACTCGTAGAGATTGTATTATAAAATTATGAAAAATATAAAGTCATGGGTTGATATCCACTATATAATATCAAGAAGAGCTATATATACGAACATGCTAACCCTTGTATACTAACGGATGACCTTGCCGTTATGGTGGCTACGGCCCAATGCAAAGAAAACCGAATTGTGCTGTTTCCATTTGAATAATACCCAAGCCAACAAAAAACTCTCCGTTCACTTTGAAAACAGAGTGCTCACTCATAACTCAACACTAAAATATTTTGGAGTGACTCTGGACAGAACATTAATTTTTAAAGAACACCTACAAAGAAGGGCAGCAAAACTGAAAACGCGAAATAAGATAGCCCAAAAGCTATGTGGCACCACATGGGGGTCCTCAGCCTCCGTACTCAGATCATCATCTCTCGGACTTGTATATTCGGCGGCTGAATACGCTTCCCCGGTATGGGTCAATAGCAAACATACGAAGAATATTGACACCCAATAAAACCAGACAATGCGAATGATCTCAGGTACAATTAGATCGACACCGAACCATTGGCTTCCCATTCTAAGTCACATTCCACCGCCGAAGCTGCGAAGAAGTTATTCTCTTCTCAGAGAATATCGAAAAATTGAGGCTAACCATCAACTACCCATCCACCATGATAAGCTTGATATCGAACTGAATAGACTGCGCCCCAAATTTCCTCCATTGCTAAGCGCCAACTCCTTACATCAAGAACATTTCAACCTCACCAACAACGCTTGGTTAAGACAATGGGAGAGGGGCTTACCACAGGAAGCACACCAAATGGCCTGTATCGATCAGAAACCGTCAAGCTTTGAGCTAACCCGCAATACATGGACAACGCTAAACAGAATAAGAACAAGCAGCAGTAGATGTGCTTACAGCTTATATAAATGGGGAAAAGCCCTTACTCCTGAGTGTGATTGTGGTGCGCAACGACAGACCGTCCGTCACATTGTTGAAGAATGCCCCCGAAGGCGATTCCCTGAAGTTTTCGATGAGTTCCTGAATGCGACCGAAAATGTTTTACATTAAATTAATAATACATTAGATGGTCGTTTGTAATACTTCATGTAACGTTTTATATTGATTTTTAATTATGTGTTCTTATTGTATTTTTTTAAGCCCTTTTCTCTATTCGATTGTCGAATATAGGCCTCTCCTAATTCTTGAGATGGATGAGATGGAGTTATTATTGTATGCCATACGATAAATAAATAAATAACTAACCCTTGTATTATGGTACGTTTCTTCTATGAAATGAATTACCTCTTCAATACGCGAAATAATATAATTGAACATTTAATTCCGCAATATAAATCCAATATGTCTAGTTGTGTATTATACTATTATTCGAAATGAAATTTAATAGCCGCAATCAAAGAAAGAATGTTAATTTGGCGGAAAATAATGTCAAGATTGGAATTTAACAACAAAATGGGGAAACATTTATAATTATTACTCCAGCTGATAGCTTTCCAAGCTATTAATCTTTACGGCTTTTTATAAAGATGTTCTAATTTAGTGTGTTAGTGTATGCAATTTTACGAGGAATTTATGAAATTACTGCTTCGATATTTTAACGCTGGCCAGTAGTTAAAGATAATGCAAAGTGGTTTCATATTGATCACGACGCTGAGGTTACATTAATATAATCGGATAATGAGAAATTTATCGACTGTTCTAGTTTTTGCTTCTCAGTTACTTAGTAATAAAACATTTAGAAATATACTTGGTTACTAATAAAAGGGAATATACATTAATAAGCGAAATTAAATATCAATAAACTCATCTAAAGCCTATAAAAAGTGCTTACGTCTTTGCTTTTTAAAGATGGGGTACTCCTCGAAGATGATGAGCCGCTTCTACTAGGAGGTCTTTCGACTTTGATTTTATCACCGTTGGTACTGCCATTTTCTCTAATTTCACTGGAATTTCCTAATGTTACGTGTTCTCCATTCGTATGGGGCGATGATGCTTCCTAGAATAAAACAAATATTAATTACAATAGTAATGTTATAACTTCGAGAATTTAAAGTTCTGTTGCCAATAAAAGATCATTAAAAACGCAAATAAAAATTGAGGTTAACCAAAAGATTTTCACATCCCACAATGGAATTTCAAGTAGAGTTACTTAGTTAAACCTGCAACTAAAGAAAAGGTATAGTAGGTATAAAGATTATTCAGGTTTACACCCCAACCTCATATATAATTCAAATGAGGTAGTTGAGGAGTTTTACGACGAATTATCAATAGCGCTAAACGAGACATCTACAAAATATGTCACAATATGTGGCAATTTTAATGCTAAAACAGGCAGCAAAACATGTGTTGAAGAAACAAACATTGGGAAAATTCGGGTCAAACCAACACAACGGAAGATGAGAAATCTTGATTGGTTTTCTTCTTCAGAATTACTTCTTCTAAATGAACAACTTCTTCCACAAAAAATAACAAAGAAAATGGACTAAGCAAAGACAGGATAACAAAACCAAAAACGAAATAGACTATATAATTGGGAACAAAAGAGAAATCATCCAAGATGTGAGTGTTCTAAACAAATTCTATACAGGTAGTGTAATCATCGAATGGTGCGAGCTAAAGCTAAAATATATCTAGAAAATGAAAGTGGCTAGAAGCTGGCTTCATCTGTGATAAAAATAATTAAGGGGTTACAAACTGCGAGTTTGTGTGAGCTACAAACTCCAGGAGAGTGTTTTTCCAGGTACTAAAAATAGTCAGCCGAGAATTTGTAGGTGGAACTTTGTTGTGAAATTAGTCCCATTCTTTTGAGTGAAATGTGAAAGAAAAGAAAGACGATAAAAGAAGTAACTGCAAGGAAAATAATAGGAGCAGGTCGGTCAGATAGCCAAGCGGGTCAGGCGCCTGACTCTCATTAGCTTCACTGGCGAATGGTTAAGAGGATGTGCGTTCAAGCCCTGGCTCGGTGTACAGAGAAATAAAAAAAGGCTAACGCAGCAATTTAAAATTTTAAAACGAATCTGTGGCCTAGACTAGAACGGCAAGAGATAAGGGCTTCCGGCTTGGTGATATTAGGAGCAAAAAAAGAAATGCGCAATCTGCAGAGAAAGCAATCGTTTTTTTAAAGAAAGTGTGTCTAAACCAACAGAAGCTAGCAAGTTCTACAATACAATAAAGGGGATGACTAGCTGGTTTCAACCAAACAGTAAAATATGTAAAAACAGATAGGGATGAATTCTTAATTTACTGGAAGTTGGAAAGCAAGCTGAAGTGTAACTGAAACTTCTTCTCATTTTTTAGAGTAAAATACTTCGAATAATCTATGAACCTGTAAAAAAAGGCTCCTCGTTGACAGGACAGGATATTATTACATTTTTAAACCTGAGAAGACTTGCTTGGGAAAAACTTCACGTCTGGAAAGAACTTCTCAGGAGAAATTCTCAGACTGAAAATGTAGTGAAGGTCAGGGAATAATGGATTTGAATTGTGGTAGAGGCCGAACACCACACGTGTTGTACCGCCAAGAATGTATGCATGATATATAGTTTAAATAATTTGAAAATTCAATTTAAGCAAAAAATATTAGTCCAAATCATGGTAATCGCAAGATGATTTGATACTTCCATCTACGAATTACTAATTTCGACAGAGAATCTTTTACTGTCTTAAAAATCAGGCTTCTTTGTGATATACGAGACAAGAATAATTTTTGCGATAAATACAAATCTTACCTCATTGGCTACGTCCACAACTAAGTCTTGATCACTTTTTTCTCCATCACTTTCCTGTAACAATCAAAATATAATATATTAGAAATGCTAAATATAAATAATTTTTTTTATTGTATTTGGATAAATCAGCGGGTATTGGCAATTATATAACTACTTTTAGGGACTTTTTTTATGTCCAGTCGTCAAATTTTTAATCTTTAAAAAGACGAACAAGCTAAATTTTGTTAAGAATTTCAATTTGGGACTCCAAAAATATGCAAAAAAGTTTGTCACTTCTTTTTATAGTGCCGTGCGTTGGCTAATTATCTTAAGGCCAGACGTCTTTTTTTTGCGGTATGCAAAAACTCGCCAGTGTTAAGCAGTGTTTTGAACAGTGCAAATAATTAATTATTTAGCCACTCTACTCTATTGATTTCAGAAAAGCAGAGCTTGTGCTGTTTATATTAGCGAATGAAAATGTATGAAATCAACTTTATTGGTGACTGATAACTAGAAATATGTCATATTTAGTACCATTTGAACATGTAACGTAAAATATTATATGGCTGCAATTTCTATATTAACTATTTATAACTGTTTTAGCTAAAACAAAAAACGATCTAAAAGAAGTAATCGAAGTAATTTACAGTATGAGTTCAACGTATCAACTCATTTGGTAGAATTAAGTAACCACTAGGTAATATTTGAGGCTAAGTAGGTAAAACTAGGAATCAACGAAATCGTTGCGTTCATTAATATTATCAGTTGAGGAAAAGTTTCATTGAGGAAAATCTGTTAAAATAGGCAAAACATAGTAAGATCCATATCCGTGTTTTTAATACGTTTTGAACAACTATTGAAGTAGATAGTAATGTCTGCTTACTCTGTTGTTTGATTATTTGAACATGATTTAGTCAGTCATTTCAATATTGGCTATATCCCGTTTCAATATCCTGTTCTAAACGTATCCCATGTACAACATTTGTAGGTCTATCACGTAAGTAACAATTGGAGTAAGGATTAGCCCATGCAAATTTTTTGAATTACGTCATTATTTGACTAATTTCTGTACGAACCCCATAACTCGGCGTAATTAATCAACACATTTGACGAAACCTCTTGCTTCTGCTTTTTGAAATGATAACTGGTGTCTTGCAGTTATAAAATATGAATTAGGTCTGTCCTATTTTAAAACATACATTAAATCCAATGATAAGTTAGAGTATAAGGAAGATATTAAATGATTTCTGTCTAAACTATGGACTAATACTAGGAAATCCGCTGTCGGCATTGTTATTTAACCTAACATTGGAATATCTCATGAGAAAAATGTATCTGAAGACTGCACATTTTGCTGATCATGTAAATGCAGTAGCACAGTCAACACTACAAGTTAAAGATATGTTCTCAAGTTTGGAAGAATTGGTATTAACTATTGGCCTAAATATAAATGAAGATAAGTTAAAATACTTCAAAGCAGCAACGATATTAAATAAGGTGAAATATTACAATAAATGCCCATAATTTCGAGGTGGTCAAAAAATATTTCTTAAAACTTAGGAAGGAAATCTACAATAACAGAATACGAAACCAAACATGGAAGCGACATGCAGGCGCAAATACATCAACGAATTAGATACTCTGTAGAGGCTAGTAGACTAGGATGAGCAGGACATGTGATACGGAGTACCTACAACCTACTAATAAACAATATGTTTTGGGAAAGATCAGATGACAGAAGAGCTGTAGGACGGTCTAGAAAAAGATGGCAAGGACGGAGAGGATCTGGAGACACTGGGAGACAGTGGCAGAGGACCAACAAGAGTGCAAGGCAATAATAGACGTGGCAATGACTTACGAAGAGTTATAACGCCATTGATGCTGACAAATGTGAAAATTGTTCATTTGTTTCCACTGTGTATAAGTGATGGACCATGAATGATTTGAGTATCACTACTTTATGTTCTTTTATTCTTTTTCTGCTTTCAAATTTGTATTAAGTTATTCTCAACCACTGTGAAGTATTATATGATCAAGAGATTTTCTTTTCATAAAAACAACAAGATATGTAAAGATGGTTAAGTATAACTTTTTATTAATGTTTACCCTATTACTTTAGAATTATAGTTAAAAAACAATTTTCAGTGACAAAGTGTATAGTATCCAAGAAGTTAATCACTCTTCAGCGAATTAATAAGAAAGGCATTTTTGGTTTTGCAGTTTAGTTAGAGTTCACTGTTGTTTTATTTAAAGAAAATTCCGCTAAATATTCTATAATAAAGGTAAAAATATACTGATATACTAATAAAACATCTAAAAACAATAAAACATTTTATTGTTTTCCGAATTTGGAAAAATGTGGTGTTGTTTTTCGCTTTCTGTCTTCCTCATTTACAAAATACAAAAATGGGTTCTCTAAAAAAATGAATGATAAGTTTTTTCGTCAACAAAAACCTATTAATCAGTCGTTCCCACAATTTACCGAACTAATACCATTCCATCGAAACCATTACAACTAAACGACCCTGTAGAGGTAATAAAACAAATGAAATAGCTTGTTGTGTTTTATTTTAGAGAGGCGAGAGACATCAGGCATCAGGCTGGTTTTCACCAAATCGACTATTTACTCAATAAAAATAAAATTTAGTGCCTCCATGCCACTGTATGTGTATGGTGCCAAAAATAAATTATATATACATAGAACATCTGCTGCTAAAACTATATAATTATTTGTTCTAATCTGTCGCTTGCCAGAGACGGACCAGGAAGAAAAAAACTTTAAACGAAAGATACAATCATAATTCAAATAACATATTTGTTAATTTGTATAAATGTTTTAAATAATGCTAAATCACAGCGACATCGCTAAATATATTTATACCGAATAAAAAGGCTAAACAATGTTTTCCCTAAACGAGAAAGGGCGACCCTGTTATTTCTTTGTGAACATATTTTGTTTCTTAACTAATCTGTCAGTATCGTATTAGGTATCGCATTGAGTATTTCTCTAAGTAAAGCATTGTGTTCACACTAGACACAAAAAAGGGCGAAAATACATTAATATATTCTTTTTTGTTATAGGTCTATAATAAGTGGATTTTATGAACACCCCTATCCCGCCACACAAAATCTAATTATCACATGATGTTTAATCTATCGAATACCAAAATACTGTTACGATAATTATGACTCATAAAACTGTAAACATATTATTACTAATTCTATTATATTCTACATATTTTCTAGAAGTTCTCCGCTTCGCTAAAAATCTGTCTGACGTGACCTTCCAGTCTATTAGAGGGGGGTCGCCGAGACTCCAGATTAACGGTGTTTTGTATAAATATAGAGGAACCTTTTATTTAAGTTACAGTTAGTTTTGAATAACGAGTCGAGTTTTTAGTCCGAAAATATAATTGTATCGAGTTTGAAATGTAACGCGCGTATTGTAATAAATGTAAATAAATTATATAATTATAGTGTAAAAATAAATTAGTGTAGTCTTGTATAAACAAAGACTTTAATAAACTTGTAAAATTGTAGAATCTTTTATAATAAATAAAGACAATAAATTAGATTTATAATAATAGTACAATACCAAGCAGATACGAGATCGTCATGTCTGCCAAAATATATGAAGTTACAGAAAATGAAACAAGTACAAGTGAAACAAGTGAACTGTAAACTTCAATTACGGTGAAGTTTGGTCGAGCATATTTAACACAACTCGGTAAAAAACGCCGTGACTTAAAAGTTCAGACATACGAATACGACATGTATGGATACCCATTTATTTCATTTCAATGTTTTTTTAAGGACGTTAAAAAACTTAGGTTTAGCAGTAATTATCACCTCGCAATACGCCACAAAAATAAATGCGTGCGAAATAATGCCTTGCGATAAATTCGATAATCCGAAGAGTTAAATATCCATAGGCAAAAATAGTCCTTCCGTACACTTCGTATGTTTGATGTACATGCCACTGATATCCAATCAAATAGGATTTCCCCGATTGATGTTAATAGGATAGTCACTTTGTAATAGCTGAAGTTAGTCTATAAATGATGGCAAGTATAAACAGATTCAAACAACAGAAATGGGGAGATACGAAAGTTTTTCCAGATACACCTTCTAAATAGGTTGTAAGCCTTGCAATATCTGGAAATTGGAATCACAGTGGAATCACATTAGAATCGCAGATTGTAAGCCTTGCAATATCTGGAAATTGGAATCACAGTGGAATCACAGATTGTAAGCCTTGCAATATCTGGAAATTGGAATCACAGTGAGATCAAATCAGAGAGAGTGAGATATTCTAGGCTGCGAGAAAATGACAATTATATTAGGACATAGTAACATCATAAATGAAATCGGAGACAGCGAATGGCTGAATGGACTCTGACCATATGGTACCCAGATATTCATGAGAAGGATGGGCCACAGAAAACACACAACTAGACTACAGGAATATACCTGGTACATAGACAAGACTAAAACTGCAGAAGGGCCAAGTTTAGAATGAACGAAGAATGTTTCTAACTGAGAAATTTTCTATCCATTTTCTATCCATTCATATTTGCATGAAACTTAGTTTAGTGTTATTCGTCTAGCATTCTATTTTTATAGTCTACTTTTATAGCAGAAAACAACTATAGGAAGATATTCACAAATAAAAATTTATTTGTAATTTGCAAAGTTAAAAGTATATTATTTTTATGTTGTATTCGTAAACACAATGAGCGTGTAGACACAAGTACTCGAAAAACAAAACAAAACCCAATACCCCATCGTTTTCCAATTTTATTAGCTTGCTTTTTTTCCAAATCCGATCCTGACCGATAGGAATCGTATTTTTATTCTACGCCGTCGGTGAACGAATGTGTGTGTTTGTTTTAATTTTATTTTCATTGATGTTGGAAAACGTTTAAAAGCGCTTATTTTTCATCTTTTTTTTTGTTTTTCGTTTGTTAGGACGAATTCAATCTCATTCGAATAATAGTAGAATGGGGCGGTAGATTCCGGCTCAAATACACGTCGGCACACAACGCGGCGAATATTTGAATACGAAATTTGGATTG